TTTTGGTTGAGTTGGCTCTCTAGCAATATCAATTTCTGATTATTGAATTGCGAATGTTGTATAGTGAGTCACAAATGTTGTATGTTGAAACTGTCATCGATTATCCGTGTTTATAGAGTTTTGTGATATATTGGTTTCAATGACAACATTTGTGATTCAACCTTTGTGATCAAATATACAATTGCAATATTGAAAATGATATAAACAGAAACGTTTGTACCAAGTATGAACCTGGATAAACTCAGTATAAGTGTGTACCTACCTAAGGGATACAACTACAAGTGATTTAGCATTGAATAAAGGAGGAATTTCTTCTGAATTTCACTTAGGTTGTCGGTCACTGGTTTGATGAGTTGGATTCCGAAGTACCCACCTAATAGATACAACTACAAGTGATTTAGCATTGAATAAAGGAGGAATTTCTTCTGAATTTCACTTCGGTTGTCGGTCACTGGTTTGATGAGTTGGATTCCGAAGTACCCACCTAATAGATACAAGTGAACTAGAATGAATCAAGTATAAATGTTCACTGCAATTTTCTTAGATTGTTGGTCACTAGGATCGATGAATTTTTGGAAACTCCATAGAAGCAGCTAATAAAACCTGTGTAAATCCTCGTCAACTGGTTAGATATTAATGCGTAGCCAAAATGTTGCAATCTGGCAGAACCTTGTTATTGCACTTGACTTTTGGCCTAGAGAGTAGAGATCACTTATGCTAAATTGTCTTAGTTTCTTTGCTAATTAATTCCAAACGCTGTTCCTGCAAGAGAAGCTTGTTTCATGAAAGAATGACTGAATGAGCTCTCCTTTTTGATGAGCTGAATAAATATGCATTGTAAGGGAAAAAAATGAACTTCATAAATACACGGTAAATTAGGACATGGACTCTGTTTGCAGCCAAAATATCTGATGTAGCAAATCTGTTAAATGCAGTTATCTAATCTTCTTCCTTTCATTAGCTTCTTGACTGTTTAGAGGTGATGGTGCCTGCAGTTAGATCTCTTGGAGCCATGCCAATGCCAACAGTGAGATCCATGCTGGCCTATTGTCAATATTTGCTCTTAAATGCAATTTCGATCACAGAAATGATCATTACAAAGAACAATTATTAACTGCTACTGCCTTGTATTATTGTGCTACACCCTCAAATGGAAAACAAATGGTTATCTTGTACATAGGGCATGCAATTTCATTCATATATTTATTTATTTGTTGCAAAGAGTTGAATGTGTTATTTCAACTAGAGTTGCCATGTATTTACATGCACAAATGAAGGTCAAAGAGGTGACTTTGACGTGTTTCTTTCAGATGATGCTGGCAACAGGCTTTCTTGTTGCTCCTTGTACTATCACATCACAAACGAAAGATGCTTGGAAACAAAGATCACCAATAAAGAAACATTGTTCTCAGCTTATTTCCTATTGTTCTTCTGAATTTTGTCACTCACCAAATGCTTCTTTCTCTTCTCATGTCAACAACCATGGCAGAGTGCCCTCATGTCATCGATTTGTCATGGCCTGTGTTTCTTCTTCATCCGGTTCTACTTCATCCATGACTACCAGGTTATATGTTAGTGGTTAGTGCTTGCTCTTCTCTTGTAGTCTCTGGATTGCTACATGCACAAACCTCTTTTAAATTTGTTTGTTACTTTACTTGGAATTGCGTTTCATGCTTCATCAAGTGGCTTCGAATTGTGTTATTTGCTGTCTTATTTCAATTTTTGGAGTTTTGAAAGGACTTTTCTTCTGAATGTTTTCATCAGTTAAATTAGATACATACACTAGTGTTTTAGGTACAATTTTGTCTGTATTTTAGTTTGTTGCAAAATTTTTAAGTTGGCACTAGAGGATGAGACATAGGTTTGTTGATGATATCAAGGAATTTAGGATACTATTTGTTAACTAGCAGGAGTCAAAAGCAACTTTCTTTTTGCCAAGCAGAAAGGAAAATCAATTTCCAGACTAGCAGTAGATTAGAAATATCAAATATCTGCAAATTTTGACAGCCACGCAAAGAAAATGGTTTTTTTGTTTTTTTCCCTCTCCTTTCATTTTTATTATCTGAATTGAGCCAAATTACGCACTGGCAACAATCGTGAGAACTAGGGGCAGCTTGGTCCTCAAACTAACTTCATTAGTATGAGGACCAAGGAAATGAATCTGTCTGGTAAATAATTTGCGATGTTGGGGTTGAGTAACAACCATGGCATGATACTGATCAATCAAAGAGATGGAAAATTGGCGGATCGCACATGAGCCAACTTGATATTGAACCATGATGTATATTGGTTCTTTGTATTGTGATAACAACTTGTTGTCCTGGTTAATATTTCTAGCTATTAATAATATAATTTGTGGGCTGATTGTCGTAAACTCGTAATCCCCCCCCCCTCCCTCTGTTCTTCTATAGCAAACAATATCAAAGCATACTGGTGGCCTAATATATGCTGCTGCGTGCAGGTCTCTCATTTCGCACTACTCATGAAAGTTTGCGAAATGCTTTCCAAAAGTTTGGCCAACTAGTGGAAGGTGACTAATCATACAAATGTTCATAAACCTTTTGGCATATGCATCAACCAGCAATTTTGCATTTAGTTTTATTTATTCCATTGGATTCTGAAGTCTTATATCCCTGAATTTACTGCAGTTAACCTAGTAATGGATAAAATCGCCAATAGACCAAGGGGCTTTGCTTTCCTCCGTTATGAAACTGAAGAGGAGTCTATGAATGCCATAGAAGGAATGCATGGAAAGGTATGTACTCCTGTAAAAACCTTTTCAATGCTATTAGGAGAACAATTCTCAGTTCATGGGTTTGAATGTGGGATGTGTACTGTTCTATATCTTTTGATGGTTTCTTACCTGAAGATTTTATGGTTATATTCTTTTTGTCATAGAAGCCAGTGAGAACCTGGTAGGACTTCTTAGGGTCATATTTTCCTATTCAACTATAAGTTTGGTGATGGTATGAAAGGACAGCAGTGTGCTGTCTATGCTGTTTCTGCCAGTATCATAAAACTTGAGCCCGTTTGCGGCATGGCTTTCTCTTGTAGCGGCTGAAAGATCATTCCCTTCAATCTGATTGTGGCTATTACCCATATTACAAAAACTATTGACCACACTGTTTCAGTTTTCTTTTTGTTTGCAACTAAACATGGATACTCCTTTCAACCACTTAGAACTAGCCTACAAGCAACTGGGAGCTCTTACCCTTGTCATCTATTTTGTTGCTAGTCTTGCTGCAGAACAATGTTGTCATTAGAATCTTTTTGATTCATGCTTATCTGAGCAGCTGTGCTCTCTTGCTGCCCCTGTAGAAACTTTTTAATCTCAATAGTCAATTCTAGCCTGACATGCCAATATGCCATATTCTCATCCCAATTGTAGACATATTTCCATAAATGATCTTTGTTAGATGCAGTTGCTGATTACCCAATTAAAAAGGATTCCTTCTCAACCAGCTTTGGGGGCCAACATGTATTTGGCTTCAGCTGATGAAGGTGCCTCTCTTTGTTGTTTCTTAGAACCTCATTAGATTACTTATGTTCCCAAGTAGAATACTGAGCTGATGTACACTTTTGGTTTCTACAGAACTAACCCAATTAATGCCATAGTAGCTTATAAATCTCTTTTTCTTTGACTTGATACCTTAAAGATAGAACTAGATCCTCTTCACAGCCAAAAATGTGGATCACTAGGGTTACTCATGTATCAACTCTTGTATCCCAAGAGCATACGGTAGGCTTACGTTGAGTTAGGCAGAGTGGGTGAACCAATCCTTGTATATGTTGGCAGTAATATTCTTTGCTCCGTATATTGACTTTATATGAACACAAGGTACGCGAGTTATTTTAGTGAGCTATATTCTCTGCCACAGAGGATCTTGTGCAATCTTCAATTTACCTAGAAAAAAAGTTCAAGATATCAAGTTGAAGAACATATATATCCCTGTGTCTGCTAGGCTACAGAAATCTTGACTGCTTGTTCTAAAGATGATTGAAAGAGCACATCACCATACAATTTTTGCTGCTTGTTGCAATCATATTATTATTTTAATGGTGTTTTATATGGGTATTTCTGTTTGGGAATGTATACATATCGTGTGTGTAATCTTTGTTGTTATATAATCTAGGATGATTTAACTTCCAAAGTCATTTAGTCAAATAGAGGCCTAATGTATGTTTTGTCGGTTGTTTAAATTGGAAATTATTGACGAATTGCTGATTTTATAACTTGTTTTTTTTTTTTTTTTTTTTTGATTGTCAATTTGTCAGGTTATCCCAAATTTGTTGTTTAGCCAAATGGCCCAAATCCATACGTCTTCAAAATATAGTTCCTGTTATTTCACTATATTGGTCCTTTAGGCTAAAATGCAACTTAAAGCTTGGAATGTTATATGTGTAGTTGTTACCTTCATATAGCCTGCTGTTTCTTACAGTTTTGACTTTTGAGTGATGACACACATGCCTTCGATTTTCTTGTAGTTTTACCAAATAATTGCATTTTTTTTTTATTAGAATAGCATTTTAGCATTTTGGTGACCCCTTTATTGATTATTGCGTGTGGCACACAGTCACATAGCACAACATCTATTAAGTTTCGGGTCTTCAACTACATACATGTGTTTGTTTCCTTTCAAAGAATAAGTGCAGCAAAAGCATAGCTAACTTGTTATGGCTGTTAGCACTTAGCCGGTTATCTTCTTTTTATTTGATCCTGTGCTTCATAGTTGTAAATACATCATACAATGTGGTTGAAAATGGAACTAATATAATTTATTTTGCTAGTTTTATTTCTTGCTTTCACTTAAGTAGACAAACCTAGCCTCAGTGTCTTCTTCTGTTTTCGAGGCACATATGAACAATTAATGTTTTTTTTTTATATTATTAACTGTTTCTGCTATCAGTTTCTTGATGGCAGGGTAATATTTGTAGAAGTAGCAAAACCCAGGTCTGAAACTGGCAAGAATCAGCAGAATACAAGAGAATCACGCTGACATACAGCTACTGAGAATGGAATTAGAGCTAGCAATGTAAATTCTGCTTTCATAGTGTACATGGAGATCAAGATGTCTGCAGTCTTGTTGCGGAATGGAGAGGTAGTTTCAACAATTCTATATGGTATCTGGCCTTTTTATATTGAATAATTCTGTAGGGTAGACCAAGACCTTTTATGCATATTTTGGAAAAAACTAGAGTAAAAGTGTTTTTTTTTAAGTAAAATAACTTTCCCTTTCCCCTCCAACTGAATCTTCTCCAAAAAATGGAATACTACCATCGATCTAAATCATGTTCCAGTTATTTGTATTGTAGTTGAACTGAACTGAAAATTTAGGTCATATCTTAGAATTTGTGACTAAAATCTTGCTATAATGTGTTGTATCTTGATGTGGTTCTTTTCCTATGGCAGATTCATAATGCATCAAGTCAAGTAAGGTTTTTAAGCGTCACTCATTGTGTCTACTTGAAGAGGTTTGTTGATTGCTATTCTAGTATGGCAGATGCCATGGATGAATTTATAACTATTGTCAATAATGGATGCCCAAAAATTTAAGGTTTGTATTCATGATTGTACTCAATCTACAACTGAAAACTTATTGCATCTATTCAGAAGTTTGTGCCTATGCCTAGGTAGACCTGCCTTTGATGACAAAAAGCAACAAAGCCACCAGCCTAACACCATATCTTAATGATTCATACCTTGTAAACTTGATTGTGGCTGCTCATAAGCACCTGTTTGTTATAGATAGTCGCAAATGACAATGATGCGTGTGTGATTCAATTCTTAGATTTTTGGAGTAGTACAAACATGAGTCACACTCTCAGGGATCTTGCTTGCAGCTTGTTAGGGGTACAATGACTTAAAAGCTGTTCAACTTTTTTTGGCTCTCCAATGGCCAGTTAGTAGCTATGCATTTAACTCTTTATCACATGGTTATTTTCCAATGCTGTTGCTCTAATATAAGTCCGCCTATGAGAGCCATTTGGTATTCACCGCCGGTGAGTGTCACTTTGTGGCATTCACTGCCGGTCTCAAGCCCCGATAAAGGAGGAGAGCTGTGGTATGTCTGTGGCATTCACTTAGTCACATCTTATGGACATGAATCAAAATTTGGATATCGTTGTTGTTGCACTTGCTCTAATATGGGTTAATGCCACAAAAGCCCGGAGCATATCTAAGCTTGCAGTAAGAGTTAAATGCCCAAATAAAAGCTAGCAATTGGCAAGGACAAAAATGAGTAGCTTGCAATATGTTGTAGTTTAAACAAGCTATTGGAAAGGAACACAAGCATCACTTAGTGTGTATGACTTGTGTACTGCAAAGTTCATATCTACAAACCAAGTAGCACTTTGTTTAGTGATAAGGACTGTGAGAATAAGGTAAATTGGGAAGTAGGACAATATTTATACGAGTTAAATTTTAGGACAACGTTTAACAAAATGATGGCTACATACATGATACAAATGCTTTTATCCCCAATCGAGTCACACCCTAAATGACTTTTCAGTATCCTGTGTTTGAGAGCTAGCGGCTGCTAGCGTTCTCTAGTCAGCTTCATTGAAACTATCTTTATGGACAAATTAACAATTAGACTACAAATAAAAAAGGATGTAGAAAGGTACACTATGGAATCTTTTAGTAAACAATTTGATATGGTACAAAAAATTCAACAAGGCTCCAAAAAAAAAAAAAAAAAAAAGAGAGAAAAATATGATTTGTTCTTGTAAGCTGAATCAAATTGACTAATTGGTGATAAGTCTAACAACTCCATTATATAAACCTGAAACTGAAACATAGTAGTCTTCTACTACAAACAGAAAATGGAGTCATCAAGCGAGACAGTAGACAAGTATCGTTCTTTCATGTATGGAGAAGGTGAGAAGAACACCACATGGGTGTTTGGAGCTCCTCCTAATTTCGATGTCCGTCGACAAATTCTTTGAAGAAGGCAGGACTAAGGTAACTTTCTTTCATTTACGTAGTATGGAGTATATGTTATTATATCCGTCGAACTCTTATTATTCTGCTTTATAGCAAGTCGCTACCAAGTAGTACTCGCAGTTAGGATTGCTAGTCCACAATCACGAGTGTGGGGATTCCCTTATCCTTGAAAAAGTGATAGCAAAAATTATTCATATGTTGACTCGGATTTGATCTAAAACCCGACCCATTTCAAATAGAGCTAATTAACATGAAATGTTTCTAACCCCAGAAACCCAATCCAACTCTTGAAAAACCGGAAAAAAGATGAGTGAAGATTTTGAAACACCAATCATATGAATGTAGTTATGTAGTACTAGAAATAATTCAACCCGGGAAATTAGACCACTAATGTCTAGAGGCAACTAATCAATAGAACAAATAATAAGAAAACGTTCTAGATTGAGGTAGTGTAACTAATACAATAAATAAGTCTAAAAAAATGAATAATTAAACAACTATTTCTATCATGACAATTTATTTATATAGTTATTAATTTATTTAATACTACGTACTTAGTATATAATGGTAGTGGTTTTGGTATGCTGAATGATGCTTGCGATTGAACTTGATTATCCATTTAAATTAAACTTTATGGGTGTTGTCCAATGAACCTAACACATGACTAGCTACCCCTAGTATCAAGTAAATTGAGACGAATGAAATATTAAATAGTCAATGATTACATATTTGAAATAACAAACCTCATGTGTGCGCGTATGCATTTAAAAATTTTTGTACTCCCAAGTTGGTGTGTATCTTATGTTAAGTCTTTGGTGATTGCAAGATATGGCCGGCTGGTTCACTCGAAGAGAAAGTGCAAAATCTTGTGAAGACAATGGAAATGGAACTCTTCCATAAGGTCAATCCCCAAGACCATAAATCCTTGGATGCTTCCAAATATACATTTAGCGTTAATGGTATCACATTTCTACTTCACTTCTCGCCTTATATAATTCTTTTAATTGAAATCATTTAGTTAGAATACAACATATAATCTCAATATTATAGACTAAAAGAAAAAAACAAAGTATTAAGGTTCTTTTACAAATAAATTAAATGTTACTTTCTGTTCTTTTTGTTTGTTTGTTACATTAGAATATTACTTGAAAAACTAAAAACTTTGATCATTGTATTCACATGTATTTTGTTAGTTTTTTATTAATGTTTATTTTTGAAATATCAACTTTTATACATAATTAAAAATAATAATGCCCAAATATGTGCATTGAAAAACTAGTTCGCACCATAATGATTGGTGCATGGTGTGCAACTAAAGAGGAAGCTCAATCACCTTACATAGATATTCTAAGTTTTGCCTTTTATGGTTTGTTTGACGAGCAATAATATTCTATGGTCTTCAACTACAATGAAAGGAAGGAAGCCGCTAACATTGAAGGAATTAGGCGAAATGGGTGGAGGATATAATGGGTTTCTACAAACTTCATTACCAGAGGAGTTACGCTTGTATGACCCAACAAAGGAGACAAGAGAATCAGCTCACCATCTCTTCAGAACTACATTCCCTCGAGGGTTCGCCTTTGAGATCCTCCAAGTCTACTCGGGTCCACCGGTGATTGCTTATAAGTTTAGGCATTGGGCTTACATGGAAGGTCCTTTCAAAGGCCACCCTCCTACTGGAGAACTAGTTGAGTTATTTGGGTGTGCTATTTTTGAGGTAAAATATGACATCTTACTATGTTAGGCTACTAAGGTCGGACCAACCTAAATCATCCTGGTCTTTCATAATTTGGCATGTTTTGTGTTTGTAAATAGGTGGATGAGCAGATGAGGATAATCAAAGTTGAGTTCTTTTATGATCGCGGTGAGCTGCTTAGTGCTCTTACGAAGGGTACAAAAGTGGAAGATTCTGCTGCTGATATGAAGATGGGTTGCCCTTTCTTAAGTAAAACAGGTTAAAAAAAAATTGATGCAGCTGAATAAAATCAAGACAGGAATATGTCAGTGACAAAATAAAACCCTTTTATAGGGTTATTTTCTTTGTTATTTCTTTGTACAATAATTGAAAAAGCAGCAAAAGATGCATTTCTGCTACTATGTTAACAACTTATTTCAATCAGTGTTGTATTTTCCATTCTTACTGATGTTTTAGTTTGAAAAAGAACTTTGTTAAGCAAAAGTCAACAGTAAGTCAGTTACATTAATCTTTACAATAACAGCAAAAAATATACATAAAACAATAACAATGAATTTTAAGTGCTAGTGGACAATTAGTTGGTCCAATGTTCAAGCAAGCAGATCTGGATTCTCTGTCTAACATGTTCTGTTTTTAGTGCAAATTTGCTGTCAACAAATATATAAATAAAAACTGATAGTTGAACAAAGAATTCAAGCATTTTATACAATGTCTGCAAAAAAAAACTGAACAAGAAAATTTGAAAGTGCTTCCAGATGAGATCATAGTTGAGATATTCTCATGGCTACCTGCTAAATCCGTTGGTCGATTTCGATGTGCATCAAAGCCATGGAGATCTCTTCTTACCCAACCCCAGTTCATCGAATCCCACTTGACTCGAACCAAACGTCTCCCTAGAGAAGAAGAATCACTCATCCTTGTTTCCCATGATTCTCATTGCCTGTATTCTATCCAGTTTAATAATTCCCACCTTTTTGACGAATTGACCTCCGTTTTAGCTACAAAGCTTACTTTTGATGGTCACCATTTCTCTTCCTCATGTTTACACCTAGCTTCTTGTGATGGGTTGACCATAGTTAAAGACGAGGAAGAAAAGTTTTTGCTGATAAATCCAACTACTAGGGAGATTAAGGTATTACCAAGCTCGCCTTATGCTCCTAATCCTCTTACTTGTGGACTTGGGTATGACTCGGTTAATGATGATTATAAGGTAGTTATGATTTCTCATAGTGGCACTGATGCTCAGATGCTTGTTAGTGTTTATTCTGCTAGAAATGGTACTTGGAAGAGCGTCGAAAATTCTCCATTCGATCATAGTGAATCTAAGTACACTTCTGTGGTTTCTGTTGATGGATATATCAATTGGGTAGCTTTTAGGCCTTCAGATGATATGTATGCTATTGCAGCATTTGATTTGGAGAAAGAGATCTTTCAGGAAGTGCCACTTTCTAGTTTGGTTGATGATGACAAGTCTGTGTTAGACGATTCTGAAGAATTTTCAGATACTGATAGTGAGGAGTTTGAGTTCGATCAGCTGGCCAAACTCGGAGGATGTCTCTGTGCTTATCCTTCAAGTATTTCGGACACATGTCATGAGATATTTGTTGCGATGATGAAAGAATATGGTGTCAAGGAATCTTGGACTAAAATCTTTATAAGTGACTTTGATGCTGAGATTACACCTCTGTGTTTGTTGGGAAAGAAACAAATGGTGCTGGTGCTGGATGAGCAGACAACTGGTGAGACATTGGTGATGTACGATTTGGAAGAACGAACTGTCAAGGATATTGTAGTTCATGGCATTCCGGATAGATTTGGTGTTGGAGGGAGCTTCATGGAAAGCCTTGTCTCGCCTCATTGCAGTAACTAAGCTGTAGGAGAATGTTAGGCTATAATTCCTACAGAGCACATGGCAGCTAAGTAATATGTTTTTCTTGTTTGATTGTCGGATTTCTTATTGCCTAGTTTCTTTGAAAAAGTCACACTACTATTTACATTTTCTTAAGAGTTTTATATTATCTAAAGTATTTCTCTGGTACTCTAATGTAACTGTGAAAATTCTGTGGTGTTAAATAATGTATGTGCCAAAGTATAGACAGGAATGCAGTCATGCTAGTAATAAATATATCATGACATGTAAAAGTTGGGCAGGCCATAACAAGTCCTCTTTAGGTGATTTGTAAGAATGTCAATGTGAAAATAACTCATACTTCGTATTTATTTGATCGTTTGATGCTCTGGTGTCGTATCGTACCTCTTGTGCAGTTGTGCTGCACATTTGAGGATTCAAGTTGCAGTTTCAGTTTCTTCTGATAGAAACTCCAGGGAATAAATATTACTGTTTACTAAGAAGATCGATAATTTTTAAAGATCAAGCAAATAAATGAATGCAATTAATTAGTACATTTAGATAAGAAACAGTCCTTGATATCGCCCGGTTACTGTCAGGGCAGCCTTGAGCTGAGTGTAGAATCTTGATATGGCATCCGAACAAGGGGTAGTCAAGAAGACGAGGACAGTGTTTGAGTATGCATCATTCATTAACAACATAAATAAAGATGAAAAGATCAAACATTGGTACAAGTTCTGGCAGTAGCTTGATTGCATTTATTTAGCCTTGGCTAGTGAAAGTATGCAGCTGTGTACCATGTGCGTTGCTAAATTCAAGCAATAATGAAACCGAGCCATCCACCAATGAAAGTATGGAAAGCCATCCAACAATTTACTTGAATACATAATTACATACAAAATGCAACTATTTAAAACAATTCAGTTACAAATAGAGCATGGTTTCTAAAAATATCTCAGTCAGTGTATACAAATTAAAATTCATTCATACCAAACCATACTAATATATCTTATTTATGTGTATTTATCATATTAAGATGTGTTTAACTTGAAAAAATATATAATTTTAAATAATACAAAGCAGTGAACAAATACGATTAAAGTATAGTCAAATCAGAATACCGAATACAAATGTATATCAAATTGGAAATATTTAGACTAGACATTAGAATATGACCAAATATTAATCCATCAGGTACACATTGATGCTTTTAAATACAATATGTATTTTTGTGTGTGTATATACTTGCTAATCAAAAAAATAAAAATTGACATTGAATTCTAGCATTATACAAAACAAGCTAAAAGGTACACACATGTACATACTATGCGTGTACACAGTCATGTGTATTTGGAGTTGTGAAACTAATAATACAACTAAAATATTTACTAAAAGCATGAGAAAGAAAGAATAACAAAAAAAACTATAAATGAGCAAATTTAGAAGGAGTTTATGTGGAAGAAATGGAGCTTTTAGTATGATAGGTAATTTTTTTTAAAAAATTATTTTTTAGTTTTTAATTTTAGACAAGAGAGATAATTTTGCAAACTGAAAAGGACATTTTGGAAAAAAAAAATTTATCATCTAAAAAGCCATTTCTCTTTATATATTACCTCCGTTAAATATAATTTGCAACTTTAGAATATTTCAATACTATAAATTTCTGGAAAAAATTAAACGAAGAAGAAGAATTGAAGATGTTTCCAGAAGAGATAGCAGAAATAATGTCATGGTTACCTGCAAAATCCATTGGTCGATTTCGATGCGCATCAAAGTTATGGAGATCTCTTCTATCCCAACCCCAATCCATCAAAACCCATCTAAATCGAACCAAACATCGCCCAATTGCAGAAGAATCACTCATCCTTTTTTTCCCCAGAATCTGGCTCCCTCTATTCTACCCAGTTGAATAATGCCCACCACCTGTTCGACGAAATGACCCTTTTTGCTAAAAAAACTCACTTTTGATGATCATCGTTTTTCTTTCTTTTATTTTCGATTGATTTCTTGTGATTAGAGGTGTCAAAACCACACTCGACCCGATCCGAAAAATATCCGATTCAGATTTTGACTCGCGTGGATACAATAATTTGGTATGACTCAACTTTAAAAATTGACTTGACCCGACCCGAGCACATCAGACCCGATCCGAATATTTGAATTGACACCTCTACTTGTGATGGGTTGATCTTAGTTTGTGATGACGACTACAAATTGCTGCTAATTAATCCAACTACAAAGGGAGATTTAAGGAAATGCCGAGTTTGAGCTTGCCTTTTGATCTTAAACCTCTTTCTTTTGGATTGGTTATGATTCAGTTAATGATGATTATAAGGTAGTTATGACAGTGAGGAGTCTGAATCAGATGATTCTGAAATTTCTGATTGTGATAACACTGATGAAGAGTTTATGTTTGATGACCTTGTCGAACTTGGAGGGTGTCTTTGTGCTTTTCCTTTATGTATTTCCGATACATGTCATAAGTTATTTGTTGCAATGATGAACGAATATAGTGTCAAGGAATCATGGACTAAAATCCCAATCTATTACTCTGATTCGGAGATTAGGCCTCTGTGTTTGTTGGGGAAGGAGCAAATGGTGATGATGATTTGTAGGAGAACTAATGAGGTATTGGTAGTGTACAATATGAAAGAGGGGACTTTAAAGGATATAGTAGTTCATGGGATTCGTGTTGGGTTTGAGAAGTGCAGAGAACGGTTCAAGAAGGCTAAGGGGGTGCATAGCTTAGGGTTTTAAGCTATGGGCTATTGCTTGGTGTTAAGCAATGGTGAATGGCAAAGGGCTGAATTAAAATGGGCATATCTCATGATCTATAAGTGATATTGAGATGATTCAAGTTGGAGGTGATAGCTCGTCTCAAGATCTTTCCCACGACTGGTCATAAGCTCGATTTGGTCAAGAATCGAGAGAGTTATGGCCGTTTTACGAAGAGCTGTCTGCGCAGTGCGGAAGTTCGACCGAACTTTGAAACAGTTTGGTCGAACCATTTGAAGAAATTGAGCTGCTGGTACTGACTGCCTTGTTCGACCGAACATTTGGCACGTTCGACCGAACCACCCTTAGTTCGGTCGAACAGGAAGTAGGTTCGGTCGAATATCGTGTGTGTCCCTGTTTTCTACGGTTTTGCGACTTAAGCGATGTGGCTTATTCAAGACCGTAGGATTGTTTTATTTTGCCTAGCACTATATATATTCATGTTTTGTCATTGTAAGAGAGTAAGGAGGATGAAGGGAAAGATGTAGAGAGAGAGCGCCTCAATGTAAACCCAAACACTTAGGGTTTGAGTGTTTGAGAGGGTGAGTTGGGGTGGAGCTTTCATGGTGATTGAAAGCTTGTAAACTACATTAATCTACATCAAATTGTTACTCCATAATGGATTGGTTGGTTTTTCTCCCGGTTTTTGGGTTTCCCACGGTAAATTCTCCTTGTCTCGTTTACTACTTGTTTTTCCGTCTTCGTTGTTGTTAATTATCGTTAATCGCAAACTAGCTAGCACATTCGGTTAATCCTTTCAATTCCTGGTAAAATCGGTGTTGGAGAGAGCTACATTGAGAGCCTTGTCTCACCTCATTGCAGTAACGAAGCTGTGAGAGAAGGTTAGGTTGTTTACTACGGAGCACATGGCAGTTAAGTAGTATATACCTCTTGCTTAAGTTGTATTACAGTGTATTTCCTACATGATTGTGGAAGCTCTTGTTGCCATTTCTTATAGACGAAGTCCTCCCATATCATAAGAATTTTGTGATGTTATGTTTATGCATGTATAACACTAATTTCCTTGCTCATGGGAACCTTGCTATGAGTTTCACGTCAGTTAAGTATTTCTCGTGTACTCTTAGGTGTGGACATATGGTGCTAATGTTATATTTTTTCCAAATAGAAATTAAGGAGATTTATCAACTGAGTTAACACTTGCTGTTCAGAACTATAGTGAAGGACCAATCTATTTCATCTTGGATGCATGGGTGAATGTATTCCCACATCATTTATTTCTAAACTTAATTAAACAGAGATTCCAATGTGGTTTACTGCTTTACTCGGTTTAATATAGGTGGATGAACAGATGAGGATCATCAAAGTTGAGTTTTTTTTCGATTGTGGTGAACTGCTTGCACCTGTTATGAAGGGTTTGAAATTAGAAAGTTCTTCCGGTGACATGCATGAGGGCTGCCAAGTTTTAGGAAACACAATTTATGAAAGTTGATGCCTGAATGAAATAATGAAATTTGGACTCATAATTTCTTAGCATCCATCACTCCATCAGTTTACTACTAGCCTACTAGGAAGTAGTATCAAGTAGGAAATGCCAAATGTATTTGTTTATATTATGCAAACAGCAATTCTTTACACTATACTTTCAATTCTTTATGTAGTGATTACATCAGTCTTAAAGATTATAATATAGAGTTGGCTATTCATCCATTCCTATAAACTATGATGCAAATTTATTTATCTAATACAGAAGTGCTCGAGGTGCAAATCACTTCAGCAACATTCACTTATACTGGGGCATACAGGCGCCCATGGTAGAGTTATAGGTATATAGTAAATAAGTAGGATCAGAAAGAATGTCAACTACTCAAGTATTATGGTTTGGAGTATTGTCAAATAGTAGGTGATTGGAATCTCCGGTCATTCTCTCGTACATAGATGGCATTGCAGGAGCAGGAACAATTGATTTCTGCCACCAAAATGAAAAATGATACAGTAATTAGAAGAGCAGGAAGATGGTGTTAAAATGAAAAATCTCTCTGACTGAAGGTGGAAAACAATATCAGGGAGAAGATGGAAAATACCTGGTAGTTGGAAAGGTCTCCAAATCCAAAATCAGCAGGAGTATCTGATAGAAAATTATTGCTGGTGTCAAGGCACGGGAAGGTTTGCTGATAGTTTTTACCAGCATCATAAACAAGAGTGTTTTGTCGTTGGTCCAAACCTAGCACAGCCTGAAGATTGCTACTATCACCTGGCATATTGAGGCCATACGGAAGATATGAATACATCCCGCCAAATTGAAGCCCCTGAAATGCATCCTGACCAATATTATCTATCCCACTTAGTTGTCCGGGGCTGTTTGCCTCCGACTTACTACTTGTGCTTGGACAACCAAAATAGCTGCCAGAAGTAGAACCAGTGCAGCTCTCTATATCCCTGGCAATGCAAATATATTGGAAATTGGATTATTATCAATCAATATCTCACAAATACAAGTAACTGGTTCTAAATTGACAGTAAAATTTGTGCATGTTGTAGACTTGTAGACCTATACAACAAGGCATGCATTGATTATCCAAAATTAATATCTGGATTTTTTGACTCAAAAGCTGTAAACAAAAAAATGTGAGTTTCTTGGTGAAAATTATTCAGACTATGGCTGACCTTTGGGTAGGTAACTTTGGCTCCTGAGTTAGTGCCATATGCTGAAAACTATCACTCGGGGTCCATAATAAGGGCTGAAGCTGTTGTCCACTATTTGCTTGAAAGGGTAGCTGCATGCTCTCTTTTAACTGCGAAACAATAGATAACAAGCACTTACTGTGACTTTTTCAATATGGTGGAGAGATTGAGGGGAGAGAAGGAAAAGTAAAGCTCCCAAAAACTTTTTCTCTAGGTGTATGGAAAGCATTACCTCATTCTCCAGGGCCAAACGACGCCTCTTTTGAAAAATTTCCTGGAATTTTTTCGAGTATTAACTACTTAATCTAGAGTTTGTGAAGGAATAGAGATACAGAAGTTGAAGAAATGACTATTGAATGCTTCTGGTTGTTTACATAATGAACATTGTTTCTTAATATAATTTGTTTGGTTCATTTTTAAACAGAACCTACTTAACACAGTCAGCATGACATTATTAACTCTTAAATGATAGACAGACTAGACACACATCTTGCTGGACATTACACAACTCGACTAGCATAACCTCAAGACCAAACCTGTTGTGACACCAATAAAACATGTACACGACACTTCTTAAATATGCAAAATATTTTTATCTACTGTACACACTAAAATTATACTCATACAACAACCATAGATTAACACATTTGTAATTTAGATATATCACTTTAAAGGAAACTGCTATCACTCTGTTTCAGTTCACCTTGTCTTAAAAAATTAAGTTACAGTTAAACATAGATTAATAATAATGTTGTGCATGTAGTTGTTTGATGTGCAATATCAGTACATGGATTTTCAGATCAAACAAGCTAGTCCTGCCTGAAATTGGGGACGAAGAAGGGAAAGCACCATTATCTTTTTTTATCTAACATGTAGGATTACCTTTTCCCTTTGAATTTGGCCAAGTGACTTCTCAAGTGAATCTTCCATTTGCATCAGAAGTCCAAAATCACTGACACAATCAGGGTTCGTCCAATACCTAAAGGCAATTTCATAAAAAATACTCTGAACAATATACAATCAGAAGTTGTGAGGGGGGGAGATGCAGAAGAGGACAGAATGTGAACATGATCAACTAGCTATATACACCCAGAAGCAGCGCGAGGAGGTTTGAAATATTACCATAGTCTTTCATGAATCTCTGCTAATCTTGTTTGTAGTCTAGACGCTTGGTCAGTCACATCCTGTTGAAAACAATTTTCTAAAGAACCGACCCTGGTTCAAATATTAAAGCGTGTGCAGATCAATCATAGATAAATCATTGAGTACCTGGGTTCCATGCATACCTTAATTGTTGGTTTACTGGTGAAGGAAAAGAAAACACGTAGAAATTAGAAAGGCGAAAAGGGAAAGTATGCATATATTACAACAATTCCAGAATAGGAAAACAAGAAAAATCGGATTGTCAAGTTGCATGATACCATAATATACCTTGAATCAAGAAAATCTTCTATATTTACATCATGTTCTGACTTCTTCCTGTATGCTTTCTTCAGGGCCTAGACTTTCAAAGACGAAACATAAAGCTCTTAAGCAGGCAAAGCTAGCAGCTGTAGAATAACACTAAGAAAATAGACAATTGAAGCATATTGGATGACAGGCTTACTTCAAGACCTTCCAGCTTTCTGTTTCAGTTCAGAGGACAAGGAAAGATAGCTAGGTTAGTATGTAACTTACTTAATTATCAATTTGACAAACGTTTAATTTATACCTTTTTGTCCTCTCCTGTGGAGGTAACTGATTAAGCCTTGCAATAACCTCCTCGATGCTGCTACATAAGAAATTGTGTGCTCAGAAACCATGTAATTACAATCTAAAATCAGCTCCATAACAAAGTTTATTAACAGTGATTTTATTATGTCAGTCTGAACACTAGCAGTTGTTTAACGGATAGATTTAATCTGAGAAACCTCAGACTAACAGTGTAAAGATTTATGAGAAACAAGTTTCTTTTGCTTCAAAGAAGCAGCACAATGATTGTAGCATCAATGCAAAACAAGAAATGTATGTCAAAGCACACAACCAGTTCTTTTTCTAAGGAATAGACGATCCCACCTATGAAGTACGACTAAAAAATGAAGGTCATTAGGTTACTAAATTGTCATAAGTTAAAAGATCAATAAAACCTCAACTGTAAAGTTCTCTGTTACAAGCTTAATGCACACAAAGGTGCTCCGAAGCTCATAATTCCCTCGTTATTTAAAGTTCTTAACACTTCTATTCAACGATTATAAGAATACACAATTATGTTTGCTTAGTCAAAAAGCATCTATCAAGTGGATTGAGTGACAGGACTTTCTGCATAAACCAGAAACACCAAACACAGGTTGATCATATTTGGTCAATAATTCTCACATAAGAAAGAAGGCAACAAGCAAACCTAGTATGTGATTACAATAACTAATGACTGTTAAAATGCATACACCAAAAATGACATAAACTGTAAGTACCTGTGCTTTCCACAACATAAACTAGGTTTGCCACCCGGTGAGAACATGACAAGGGCAAGGTCTATATCACACAATATAGACAGCTCTTGAGCCTTTTTCAGGATTCCATGTTTCCGTTTTGAATAAGTGGCTTGACGACTGCTAGCATTCTCTAATTTTTTTATATCCAGCTTAACCTTTCCCATCCTGCATCATTTACCATGATTCAGATCAACCAGTGAACATCTTAGTTTCTGCCCTGAAGTTAAAATGCATAAACTCAGCCATCCATTAACTAAGAAAGCTGCTATACATCAACATTTCATAAGACTTAATCAACAGTTCCCATTAACTAACTATGTTTCTGAATGCACCACAACATGAGCAAATCAAGAAAGACATGAACACAATAACATTATCCCAATGCCCCTAACAGCGATCCTGTTCTGATATATGAAGCCTTATCCCTCCGATAGTAGAGAGGCTAGTAACCGTAAATGAAATTAACACAGTCAAGGGTCGAACAGAGTTGAGGATTTGTCTTGCTAGCAATAACCACATTGTAAGTGGGAAAGGCCACCTTGTCAAAAGATTATGATGGGAACAGCCTTCAAGAATAGGTGAGTTCTATAACTAAATGTTATTTCATATGTATGTGCTTCGTACCAGTATCTAACATTTACCTTAACCTTGTCAACCTAAAAGCCTTAAGGCCACATTGTCTAAGTCATAAGATGATAATGAAAACATACTCATTGTCAAGTCTTGAAATGATGAAAACAACCTTAAAAGGTCGAGTTCTATATCTAGCTAGCTAAATGATACCAATCTAACATCTACCTTAACCTTGTCAACCTATAAACCGGAAGGCCACATTGTCGAGTCATGAGATGATATAATATTCAGCCCTTTAAAAAGGCAAGTTTTAAATGTTACCAATCTAAGTATCTAACATCTAACTTAACCTTGTCAACCTATAAACTGGAAGGCCACATTGTCGAGTCATAAGATGATATAGTAAGAACAACCCTTTTAAAAGGCGAGTTCTAAATGTTACCAATCGTTAATCTACCTTAACCTTGTCAACTAATATTGTTGAGTAATGAGATGACTTATAAAATTCTCGAATTCTAAAGGTCACCTTGCAACTTGACCTTTGATATTATATAATCATCATTCAAATTTAAACCCAATTTACACTTCAATTTTGCCATGAAAACGTTGATTTTTTTTATTTTTATTTTTTCCTTTTTATAAACTAACGCTTCCATTTATATCCATCCTTGATGTATTCATCCTAATCCAAACAACAAATTTTGATACCCTTTTTCAAACAAACTATAATGTCAAAATACACAATAAATAATTATATGTATACCCATAATAACTCAAGTAATCATTCAATAATAATTAAATTAAAATAAAAAAATTATTTCATAGGATAAGGTAGCAAGTCTAACAACCCATCAAATGCACAAAAAATTAAAATTGGCGGATGATTATAAAAAAAATTAAAAGAATACCCAGAAAAGGAAATACGAGATTGAGTGTAACAAAACGAAATCCAAAAATCTGGGATGAGAGACAAGCACACTGTTAAACGGAAAAAAGGATATAAATTTGTTAGCGAGTAAATACGATTATTTAGAAACGGAAAGAGTAATTTATTAAAGATAAAGCGGGTTTAAAAAGAGTGAGTAAAAGATGGGGGAGGGTTAAGCTACAAAATCGGGTCATCCAGAAAAAACGGCAGAAACGGGATCATACTTTCTCTCTTCATTGAACCCACTCTTCCACCTCTCATTTTCCAACAAAAAGCTGGATTCTTGTAAATTTTAAATTAGATAGATAACAAAGAAAAGGATAACTAATGATGTTACATGATTTGGAAGGCTATGAATCCTATGATTAAAGTTAAAAAATAAAAAATAAAAAATAAATCGAATCTAATCATATCATATCCATATATCACTAATAAGTAAAGTCAGTCTCGCGGTCAGGTCACGAGACAACAACACTTGGCATTTTAGTTTTTCGCCAAGTGTCGCGTTACGTAGGAGATAAATAGGTATTATTGTAACACATATGATGCTAAGTAAGAGATTTTTGTATAAATTTTTTAAGATAAAATTATTGTATAGAGTTTTATTATCGATAGAATTCTAATATTTCATATATACAAAATTAATCATAACTTTTAATAAATATCTTATAACTATATTCTATTTCCATCATCAAATTTGTTTTAAAAAGTTCTTTAAAATAAGATCATTTTATAATATATCTGATAACAAACTTTTATACGTAGCTGACCAAATCGTGTCACCAACTATTACAAGAGTTACTTCGTTAGTGCTATAGGGGTTACTTGATCAGTGTTATAATAGTTACTCAATCAGTGTTATAGATAGGGGTTACTTAGTCAGTGTTAGAGGTTACTCAGTTAGTATTACATGGGTTACTCGGTCAGTTTTATACGGTTACTTCGTCCGACTAGATGGTGTGGCTAGCTGCATACAAAATGCACTGTTATTTAATTTATTTTAAAAAATATTAGAGAATCAGTAAAAATAAGTTTTAACTAGTAAAATTCATTTTCAATAAAAATAATTTAAGTTTAATAAAAATAATTTCAAGTAAATAATAACATAGATATCTATCTACAAACAAAACTACAAAAAGTATTATTATATAAATATAAACCATATGATATAGTATGTCTAAATATCCTATATTATCAGAACGAATTATTTGACCGTATTTAACATTCAAGTGTAAACGTTATCTTAAAATTTTATCAATCATCTGGGCATCGTCCAGACACAAAACTAGTCACTAATAAATAAAGTCGGTCTCGCAGCCAAGCCACGGGATAACGACACTTGGCATTCCAGTTTTTCGCCAAGTGTCGCGCCATGTAGGCGACAAATATGTATTATTGTGATTAGATTAGATATCATGTTATTAGATTGATAGATTCGATAAAATAATTTATAATTCTTTTGAAAAAAATTTATCTTTTTTTAATGATAAAACATATCTAGATCATAGGTTGACATCATATCCATTTGACAATAGAATTTACTTATATCAACACATTATATATTATAATTAATATAAATATCCAATTTACAATAGAGTTTTACTCTTATACGAATAACCACATAATTATAATTATAAATATAGTTATATGATCCATTTGACAATAGAATTTTACTTATATCAACACATCATATATTATAATTAATATAAATATCCAATTAACAATAGAGTTTTACTCTTATACGAATAACCACATAATTATAATTATAAATATGGCTATATATCATATAAGTGTAACTTTAACCTTAAACCGTCTTACAATAACTTAATAAAAGTCCGCCTAAAATTAGTGTATAGAATTATGTACCACCAATTAAAAATGTATTTTCTTAATAAAATTTCATTATTTCAATAGCAACTCTACAACTAAATTCAAGTACTTTAGAAGTGGATAAATATAATAATTATGGGATATCGAATGGATAATAGGAAATTTATCAAATAATTTTATATCAGGGAAGCACAAAATACAATTATTTTTTTATCAACTAACCATTAAACGAAATTTTTATAGCACATAGTTAGCCCATCGGCTTATAGAGTGTAAATTTTTATCAACTAACCATTAAAACAAATTTTTATAGTGTAAATTTTCACAGGGGTTTGGCTTATAGAGGATAGTGGATATAGTTGGCCCATCGGCTATAGTAAGAAATAGATGTGGCACATGATCATTGTTTGGGATTAAAGGACCGTTATTGTTTAAAATCTACGTAGGCAACAAATAAATATTATTGTGACACATATGATGATAAGCAAATAAATGTTTGATAAATTTTTTAAGATAAAATTATTTTATAGAGTTTTATTATCGATATTTTTCTAATATTAAATATACAAAATTAGTCATAACTTTTAATAAATATATCATATAACTCAGTTTTATTTCTATCATAAAATTCATTTAAAAAAGTTCTTCAAAATAAGATCCATTTATAATATATTTAATCACACACATTGATATGTAGCTAGCCACATCGTGTGACCAACTATTTTGAGGGTTACTTCGTTAGTGCTATAAGGGTTAGTTACTTGATCAATGTTATAAGAGTTACTCAATTAGTGTTATAGAGGTTACTCAATCAGTGTTATAGGAGTTACTCAATCAATGTTAGGGGTTACTCGATTAGTATTATAGGGATTACTCGGTTATTTTTATAGGGGTTACTTTATCCGGCCACATAGTGTGGCTAGTCGCATACAAAGCGCGTTGATATTTAATTTATTTAGAAGAAATCATAGAGAATTAGTAGAAATAAGTTTTAATAAGTTATTAAAAATAGTTTTAGTTTGGTAAAAATAATTTTAGTTCAGGGAAAATAATTTAAGTTCAATATAAGTAATTTCAAGTCTATAATAACATAGATATCTATTTACAAACAAAACTACAAAAATACACTATTATATAAATATAAGTGATACGATATTGTATGTCTAAATATTCTACATTATCAAAACAAATTATATGACCGTATTTAACATTCAAGTCAAAAAGTTTATTCTAAACTTTCATCAACCATCTGTGCATCGCTCGGGCACAAAACTAGTAACTAATATATAAAGCTAAACTTTTAGTCACGCCATGAGACAGTGACACTTGACGTTTCAACTTTTCGCCAAGTGTTGCGCCACGTAGGCTATAATTATGTAAGATAAAAAAATTAGTTTAGAGTTTTATTTTCAATAAAATAAGGATAGGTTTATAGGATAAAATTATTGATTTAAAGTTTTATTTTCGATAAAATAACAATATTTTAGAACTTTCAATAAATGTATTTTTAGCCCATAAGTTTCCTAAATTATGAGATTAGTAAGTAAATGAAAAAATTTCCTCAATACAAAATAAAAAAATGGTATAAGTTAGTGATAAGGGTTTGTGTTACTATACTTCAGACAATTAGTAGTTGTAGTACAATCTAATATATCATATCACTAATATATAAAGCCGGTCTCGTAGCCAAGCCATGAGACAGTGACACTTGGCATTTCAATTTTTCGCCAAGTGTCGCGCCACGTAGGCGAAAAATAGGTATTATTGTGACACATATGATACTAAGTAAGCGATTTTCGGATAGATTTTTAAGATAAAATTGTTGTATAGAGTTTTATTATCGATAGAAATCTAATATTTCATATATACAAAATTAATCATAACTTTTAATGAATATCCTATAACTATGTTCTATTTCCATCATCAAATTCGTTTTAAAAAGTTCTTTAAAATAAGGTCCATTTATAATATATATTTAATCACAAACTTTTATACATAGCTGGCCAAATCGTGTCATCAACTATTACAAAAGTTACTTTGTTAGTGCTATAGGGTTACTTGGTCAGGTTATAGTGGTTACTCAATCAGTGTTATAGATAGGGGTTACTTAGTCAATGTTAGAGGTTACTCAGTTAATATTACGGGGTTAGTCGATCAGTTTTATAGCTGCATACAAAATGCGTTGTAATTTAACTTATTTAAGAAAATATTAAAGAATCAATAAAAATAAGTTTTAATCGGTAAAAAATAATTTTAGTTTGGTTAAAATACTTTCAGTTCAGTGAAAATAATTTAAGTTCAATAAATATAATTTTAAGTTAATAATAACATAAAAGTACACTATTGTATAAATATAAGCCATATGATATCGTATGTTTAAATATCCTACATTATCATAACGAATTTTCTTGACCGTATTTAACATAAAATATTATCTTACAATTATATCAACCTGGGCATCGCCCGGAAACAAAACTATCATATCATATCACTAATAAATAAAGTCGGTCGCGCAGCCAGCCCACGAGACAACGACACTTGATATTCCAGTTTTTCGCCAAGTGTTGAGCCATGTTGGCGACAAATAAATATTACTTGTGATCAGATTAGATGCCACGTTAGATTAGATTGGATAGATATGTTTAGGACAAAAAAAAGTATACATAAAATAATTTATAATTCTTCTGAAAAAAATTTATCTTTTTATTGGCAATAGAATTTTACTTATAACAACACACCACATATTATAATTAATATGAATATAATTAACAATAGAATTTTACTCCTATACGAATAACCACATAATTATAATTATAAATATGGCCATGTATCACAATTTTATTTTTTTTACTGTACCATTGATTTACCATTAAAGCTTTTAAATCGGGTATTTTTCATATTTGGTTATGATATTTTTGTATATGTTTGTGATTTTGTTGATGAAATTAATGAAATAAAAAACTACTAAAGTTAGGACACAACAGAAACTATACTATACAAGGGAATCTTGAAGTGAATTCAGATTAATTTTAGCAAAATCTTAGAATTTTACAAATTTTACAAAGCCTCCGTAACCCATTTACCCGCCATAAACACAACAAGTATTAAGCCTATTTCCGAAGGAAAATATCCCTCGGAAAATAGGCAATTTCCGTCGGAAATCGTCATTTCCCACGGAATTCCGCCGAAAATAGCCTGTCGGAAAACCATTCGTCGGAAAAAAGGCCGTTTCCGACGGAATTCCGACGGAAATGACCATTCCGATGGAATTTCCGACGGAACAGTGGCGTCGGAGAATGGTGGCTGGGGGGGGTGGAAAAGTCCGTCGGAGATGCCCGACGGAATGGAGATTCCGTCGGAAATTTCCTCTTTTCCGACGGAAATTATCCGCCGGAAAACTCCCTATTTTCCAACGGAATATTCTGCCGGAAAAGGGGAAATTTTCCGACGGAATTAATCCGCCGGAAATGGGGGTAGTTTCCGACGGAACAATTCCGTCGGAAATGTGGGGATTTCCGGCGGATTTATTTTTCGTCGGAAATCCCAACATTTCCGACGAAATTGTTCCGTCGGAAAGTTCTATTTTTTTTTTATTTTTTTTATTTTTTTGCTTCTATTTCGTCTCTGTATATTAACCTGTTCTTCGCTACTGCAATCTGTTTAAAACATAATAACATTTCATTTGAAAATAAAGCAATTAATAAAAATTAATAATTGTAATTATTACAATCAGTTTTGTTAAATAACCTACATTGTATCTCAAATTATGTACAATACGTGAAAAGAAACAAAAAGCTACATGACGGGAAAAGAAGCCGAGCCTCCCCCACAACCGGGGTCGTCGTCCCAAGGGTCTCGCGGCTGCGGCGGCATCGGCGTGGAACATGTAAATGGAGTGTTGAGTCCGGTCATGCGACTCAACATCTCGTCCATCATTTCTTTGTTCCTCCGCTCAAGTTCCGCCATCTTAGCCTGTACCTGAGCCTGTACCTAGGCCTGTACCTGGGCCTCCATTTGGGCCTGCTGGGCCTGTACCTGGGCCTCCATTTGAGCTTTCACCCGAGCCTCGATCTCAGCCACAACAGATGACGACGGGTGGTACTGCTGAGAGGACCTAGAGACTCGGGAGGATTGATAGTACAACTCAGCACCTCGACCAAGACCCCTTACTCGGCCTTTCTTGTTACGCCCGCCTACTGCATCCCAGTACAGTTCATCCTGGCTTTTGGAAGACTCCTGACTGCTTGCTTCCTCAACCAGTTTATGATATGTTTCCTACAGAAAATTGACGAGATATATTAAGAAATAATGATGTTTCAAGAGAAATGGGCCCAACAAGGGGCCAAAACGGTTCTACCTTGCCTACTTGTCACATTTCTTATCAAACTAACCTATAACTTGCACTAACATACCAATATAGCCTAGTTACAAGTGTTCATGCATTGAAAACGAACCTTAGAAGCATTTCACTAAGTTTTGGGACGATATTCATGATTTTCGAGGAAAAAGGGGCCAAAAAGGCTTCTACCTTGCCTATTTTCACATTTCTTATCAAACTAACCTATAACTTGCACTAACATACCAATATAGCCTAGTTACAAGTGTTCATGCATTGAAAACGAACCTTAGAAGCATTTCACTAAGTTTTGGGAAAATATTCGTGATTTTCGAGGGAAAAGGGGCCAAAAAGGCTTCTACCTTGCCTATTTTTCACATTTCTTAACAAACTAACCTATAACTTGCACTAACATACCAATATTGCCTAGATACAAGTGTTCATGCATTGAAAATGAACCTTAGAAGCATTTCACTAAGTTTTGGGACGATATTCGTGATTTTCGAGGGAAAAGGGGCTAAAAAGGCTTCTACCTTGCCTATTTTTCACATTTCTTATCAAACTAACCTATAACTTGCACTAACATACCAATATTCCTAGTTACAAGTGTTCATGCATTAAAAACGAACCTTAGAAGCATTTCACTAAGTTTTGGGACGATATTCGTGATTTTCGAGGGAAAAGGGGCCAAAAAGGCTTCTACCTTGCCTATTTTTCACATTTCTTATCAAACTAACCTATAACCTGCACTAACATACCAATATAGCCTAGTTACAAGTGTTCATGCATTGAAAACGAACCTTAGAAGCATTTTACTAAGTTTTGGGACGCTATTCGTGATTTTCGAGGGAAAAGGGACCAAAAAGGCTTCTACCTTGCCTATTTTTCACATTTCTTATCAAACTAACCTATAACTTGCACTAACATACCAATATAGCCTAGCTACAAGTGTTCATGCATTGAAAATGAACCTTAGAAGCATTTCACTAAGTTTTGGGATAATGTTCGTGATTTTACCAACATAGCCTAGTTACTTAATTTAAATTTTAGCGACATTAAATTAATGAATTTATTACCGCAATCTCCTTGGACTTTTTGTTTGCCGGAACCTTTCCTTTTCCCGGCACATCCTTGAAGTGCGTTTTCAGGAATAGATCAGCAGCGGATGACAGCCTCCCTTGGTTTTCCGTCGCCTTTGCACATAAATACAAATAAATCACATTAATTTGTAAACTTAATTACTGCAAAACATAAAACATCAAATCTCATATACTGACCATCCGTTTTGCATGCTGTACGACTGATACGGAACCCTGGAAGTGGGTTACCTCCACTTCATTCTCCATGGAACAACCTCTTCGGTTCAGCTTTAACTGTGTGGACCGCTTCTTGTACGTGTCATCAGAGTCAGGAATCTCCATCATCTTCTTGTGCACTTCCTCTGACACCCAATACGGTCTCGCACCTTTCATCTTCTTCGTGACAGTGTAAAACATGTCACGAAGGCGGGTACCGGCCCGAGCTTTAAATGCCGATTGTACCTGACTGTCCAGCTCCGATGACCACGTAAAATTTTGCTGCATAATCAAAACTCGTAAAACGTAACAACAAAATATTTGGGGATTTAAAATAATACTATTTGTACTGGTACATACCCTGAACAAGTTCCACCAATGACTTTTCGTGGCCTCGTCAACCTCTCCATAGTTCCTCCAAGGCGCCGTATAGTGCCCCTAGATCGAACCAGAGACGGCTTTCTTCACTATTTGGTCATCAAACCTGTTTCAGAACAACAAGAAGGCCGTCGGTAGCTTTTGATAATTAGAAATGTGAATCACGAAATGCATATAACAGCTGATGTAATATTCTTACCAGAGCGTGCCCGGGTCTAGGCGTGGCACTACATCCCCTCGTGCGTGCTCCGACTGCCCTGAGCTCCAGGGCTGTGACAGATCCTCATGCTGAGTAAGCAAATCTGGTACCTGAGTGTCACCCAGACCCTGAGCAGTCTCAGAGTCATCCTCAGCGGTCTCGGGGGCCTGCTGACTGTCTGACACATGGCACGAGGGGTAAGGCTGAGATCTTCGTGTCCTCCTCCCCGAGCTATCTCCCTTTCTTCCTTCGGCCATGCTTCCCTACAAAGCAATTCAAGGATCGAACATACAGACATAAATAGGTTAACAGTTACATTCCTCATATCAATCAATACAACTATTCATTACAATCATTTATTATAATCAGTAATATTTTTCATTACAATCACCAAAGCTACTCATTACTATCACTACTGCTACAATGATCACTACTGTTATCATCGGTACTATCATAAAAAACAACAATGTCTTCCTCATCCTCTTCACTGCCCTCTTCGTTGTCACTTGAACCGACGCTTGATTCGTCTTCAGAAGCAGACACAATATCATCGTCCTCACCCTCGGAGACAACAAATGCATGACCATCGTCCCCGTAGTCTGGGATATCATTCGGTGGGCAGAGTGTACTACATTCCCGTGTTTTTGTTCCTTGCAAGAACTCCGGGTCCACAGGAGCATCCACAACGGACCTTTCCTGCGTTTTAAACACAGCCCACCATTGAAACCGATCCCGTTTGAGGCTCGGATATGGTGCATAATATACCTGACCAACTTGATAAGACAGCACGAATGGGTCATATTTGGGGAATTTCTTAGTGTGATTCACCTCAACAAGCTTGTATTGTTCATGTATGTTCATACCCTTACCACAATCCATCCAACTACACTTAAACAAGATGGTCTTGTATTCACGGATCGCACCAGTGTAGACAACTTCAATAATGTCTTGTAACATGCCAAAATACTCTCCTCCATCTTGACTGGACACACACACACACCGTAATTGATCGTGCCCTTATGCCTGCCGTAGTCTTGCGTATGGAAATTGAAACCGCTAACAAATATTCGGCTCCAAGTGCGAACTTTCTTGAACGGACCCATAGCCAAAGCTTGCAACACATCAGATCCTGGTTTCTCTTCAATTACCTATTAGCGGTAAGATAAATTAAAATACGTCATATTTGGATTATTAAAATTGAGCTGGATTGTACATATAAAAGTCCATAATTATCCCTATATTTGAGATTGATCTGACCTTGTCCCTAAACCAATTAGGGAACTGTGTTTTGAATGTCTCCCATGCAACTTCTCTGCGCAAGGTAGGACGGGTGCTAAGAATATGGTCCTCAAACTTCCTGCTACGACAGCCAGAACTTGTTAATGACCGTGAAACTCAGTACACGTGATCATATGATGGAAACAATTTAGTTACTGTGAATTACCTTTTATATTCACCTAATATGCCACTGTTTGATAAAACAAATAAGTGTGCACGTTGAAATTCCTTTTCATCTAACCACCTCAATTTTCCCTCAGTTGACACACGACCGGTGTCCTCCGAAAACAGTTATGGGATGTCATTGGTGTCGAGGGAGGTGTCAACATCAGCATTCACATTCCGACCCAGATCTCGGTTTTTTGTGTCAACTGACAGCTGGAAGTAATTTGAGCAGAAATTTGATATCTCCTCAGTTAGGTAAGCGCTGCATATCGAACCTTCAACACGAGCCTTGTTGCCAATTTTCCGTTTTATATGGTTCAGGAACCTGAAATTAAAGTATATTATGATTTTAAACGGTGAATTTATGACTGCTCAAAAACTAAATCAAGGGTTCATTACCTTTCGAATGGATACATCCATCGATACTGCACGGGTCCAGCTAACTTTGACTCGTACGGTAAGTGAATGGGTAAATGCTCCATGAAGTTGAAGAATGCAGGCGGAAAAATCTTCTCCAGTTTGCAAAGGATCTCGGCAATGTTCTTTTTCCAGCCGTTCCATGTCACTGACTGTGACTGTGTAGCAACACAAGTCTCTAAAGAATTGGCTGAACTCTGTAATTGCATTCCTGACATGAACAGGAAGCAATTCTCTCAATGCGACAGGTAATAACCTCTCCATGAACACGTGACAATCATGACTTTTCATTCCGTGTATTCTACACGCCTGCAGATCCACACATCTGCTCAAATTGGAGGCGTAACCGTCAGGGAATCGCAGGTCACGAACCCACTCACACAATACCTTCCTCTGACCCTTATCGAGGCAGAATGGGGCCTTTGGCATGACCTCATTCCCTCTGTCATCAGCCTGTAGATGAAGTTGCGGTCGCCTACAATATTTGGCAATGTCTTTTCTGGCCGAAGGTGTGTCAGAAGTTTGTCTTCTCACATCCATTACAGTGTGAAAGATTTTATCAAAGAAGTTTTTTTCAATGTGCATGACATCTAAGTTGTTACGAATCAGCAAATGCTTCCAATACGGAAGCTCCCACAGGCAACTTTGCTTGAACCACCCTTTCTTTTCCTTTTTCAACTCTTGCAGTGATTCGGGCCCATCCGTGGCCCTCGAAAGGTCTTTCACACACTCCCAAAGTTCCGCCCTTGACATGATGTGCGGCGGTGCGCCTTTTTCAACTCTGTTTCTGCAAAATGTTGTTTTACTTTTTCGGAAAGGATGATCTGCAGGAAGAAATTGACGATGACTATCAAACCACGAAACTTTTCCGCCATGCTGCAACCAAAATGCCTTGCTTTTTTCCATGCAGTACGGGCAAGCCTTCTTACCAGCCGTGGACCATCCAGACAACATACCATATGCAGGGTAGTCACTAATGGTTCATAGGATGGTTGATCTCAAATTGAAATTTTGCTTCTTTGATATATCATAAGTACTTGCGCCAACTTCCCACAACTGTTTCAGCTCTTGTATCAGTGGTTGCATGTACACATCTAAATTTCCCTTTGGGGTTTTTGGGACCAGGGACTATCAGCGACAAGAACATGAACTGCCTTTTCATACACAGTGAGGGAGGCAAATTGTATGGGGTCAAAATCACGGGCTAACAAGAGTACTGACCCCCGAACTTACCATGAGGAGAAAAACCATCTGTACACAGCCCTAATCGAACATTCCGTGGATCCGAGGCAAACTCTGGGAAGCAGGTATCAAGCTGTCTCCAAGCTTCAGTGTCACTAGGGTGTGCCATCGTGCCTTTGACACGAGGATTATTTGCATGCCAACTCATTTCCTCTGAAATGTTCTTCGTTGCAAACATCCTTTGCAACCTAGATGTGATCGGGAAATAAAATAGCGCATTCTTTGGAACCAAGCTGCCTTTGAAAGTTCTTTTGTATCGATCACTGCCACACACTCTACATGTAGGAAGCTCAGCATCCTCTTTCCAAAACAACATACATCCCTTGGGGCATGCATGAATTTTTTCATGCGGCAGCTCCAACCCCTTAACAACCTTCTTAACATCGTAGAATGTCTCACCCAACCGGTTGTTGCCAAGGATCGCTTCTGTCAACAATGAAACGAACCCATCAACACACCTGTGCGGCAAATTGTACTCACACTTTAAGCTAGTAATTCTTGCCGCCACCTCCAAAACCGACATCGAACTCCCTTCATACAATGGATGTTCAGACGCCTTCAACAAATCAAGAAAACGCTTTGCTTCAGCGTTAGGCTCCTCCTCTTCAGTACCCGATCGATCATAATTATGACCAATAGCATCCATAACCATATCACGATATTAATTTGATTGGCCTTCTACCGAGGATTCAGGTAACCCTTCCCCTTGACACAACCACTCCCAATAACGAGGAGTGAATCCCTTGCTGTACAAATGAATTCTTACTGTGTCCGGATCCTGAAAATGTCTGTTATTGCATTTAACACAAGGACACCTATATTCATTCTTTGCAGTCTCACGATGATCTTCGCAAAACTGTATGAATTCCTCTACCCCTTTCAAGAACTCAGGCTTAATAGAACGCCCATCCAATCTATCATACATCCAGCTCCGCTCTCTTCGTGTATATATTCATTTCACACATATTTAGAAGATTGAAATACTAAACTAACATATATACATTATACTAAACTAAACTAACATACATACATTATACTAAACTAAACTAACATACATACATTATACTAAACTAAACTAACATACATTATACATACTAAACTAAACTAAACTAACATACATACATTATACTAAACTAAACTAACATACATTATACTAAACTAAACTAAACTAATTAACATACATTATACTAAACTTAACGAAACTAAACTAACATACATACATTATAACAAACTAAACTAACATATATTATACTAAACTAAACGAAAATAAACTAACATACATAAATTATACCAAACTAAACTAACATATATTATACTAAAGCAAACTATACTAAACTAACATACATACATTATACCAAACTAAACTAACATACATTATACTAAACTAAACTAAACTAACATGCATTATACTAAACTAATAACATACGTTATAATAATACAAACTAAACTATTAACATACATTATACTAATATAAATTCAACTAAACTAAACTAAACTAACATACATTATACTTAACTAATATACATTATACTAAACTAACATATACATTATACTAAATTAAACTAAACTAAACTAAACTAAACTAACATATACATTATATTAATAAACTAAACTAATTAAACTAACATAAAAACATAATTAACATATCAATAACCAACATACATTATGTTAAATATTAAACTAATTAAACTAACATAAAAACATAATTAACATATCAATAATCAACCTACATTATATTAACAATTAAACTAATAAACTAACATAAATATTACATTAACATTAACATTAACATTACATATTAAAAGTTAAACTAATAAATTAACATAAACATAAACTTTAACATAAAAAAAACTAACCGGATTTTTTGGTTGTGGGTTGAAGGTGGTGGAGCTTGAAAAATAATGAATCTTAAGGAAGAAAGAAGCTTGAAAAATGGAGCTTGGAGCTGCTTCAATGGAGGAAGGTGAAGGCGTGAAGAACAAAGGTGGAGGAAGGTGAAGGCGTGAAAAATTTGGGAAAATCGAAATGAAATTAGGCAATTCTGGTTTTTAGTGCCGAAAACTTTCCGACGGAAATTTCCGTCGCAATTCCGTCGAAAATTCCATCGGAAAATGGTATCCTATGCGTAGAACAATTTTCCGACGGAAATTTCCGTCGGAAAAGGGTATCCCAGGTTCAACCCTTTTCCGAGGGAAAAGTCTGTCGGAAAAGGATATCCCAGGTTCAACCTTTTTCCGACGGAAATTTCCGTCGAAATTCCGTCGGGAAAGGTTTTCTCCGACGGACTCTTTCCCTCGGAAATTTTACGACGGATAATTCCGTCGGAAATGGCATAATTCCGTCGAAAATGCTCCAGTTTTCCGACGGAACCTTTTCCCTCGGAAAATATGCCTTTTTGCGACGGAATATTTCCGACGGACGTATTTTCCGTCGGAAATAAGCTTAATTCTTGTAGTGAAATTACAAATGGTCCAATAATATAATCTATTGATTTTACGTGTAGGAAAAATAATTGCTTTTAATTTTTTATTTATTTTATTATTCTTTTACCGACGCACTCTTCTTTTCACAAAATTATACTTCCTCTATTATTTTAGTGTCCCATTGAAATTTAGCACATATGTCGACATAGAGCTTTGAAACAATATCTTAAATATATATATATATATATATATATATATATATATATATATATATATATATATATATATATATATATATATATATATATATATATAATTCAAAATCATTGGTCAAAGTAGACCAAGTGAATATAGTGCAACTTACAAAAATAAAAAATAATAATAAACGATCAAAAAAAATAATAGGTAGTGTTTATACTCTTTTTTTTTTTATCTAACATTTGAAATAAAATATAAATACTAATTATTATTATTATTATTATTATTATTATTATTATTATTATTGTTATAATTATATGATACAAAGCATGCCTACAATTAAGTACACTCTTTACATGGGTATCTGAGGCAACGCCTGGGGCACGTACTAGTATATATATATAAAGGGGAGTTTTTTCCCCAAGTTTTTAGAGAGCCACATATGATTTAATTTTATTAGCACGCCATGTAGGATTATAAATTTAAGTGGTAGCCAATTAAATAAGAGATTATTAATTCTTTTAAAATTAAATAATTCAAATGTCATGTAAGCAAAATTGACGAATGAGATTTTTAAGTTTAAATTAGTTAAATATAAGATATTATTTTTTGATATTAGAAAATTTATCTAAATATATAAAAAATTTTGGCACATAAATAAAATAATTGTTTTAAAAAGTTCAAACAAACCGTGCATCGCCACGTAGGATTTTAATTTTTAAAAAATTATTAGAGCGTCGTATAGGATTAATATTTTTAAAATGCTACAGTAGGAATATGCCATGTAAGATTTTTTTTTTTAAAAGCGTAGGATTATAATAATAAATAAAATTCATTTTTTATCTATATATGAAAAACAAAACTAATAATTCATTTTATATTAACGAATTCAAGTAGTAAACAAGCGAATATCACAAAGTTTATCAAACAAACCATGCATCGCACGGTCTTCCTCTATCCTTAATTTTCTTAGTGTGCCATGTAATATTTTATAATGTCTTTTCCAACTAAACACGATTTTTAGAGAGCCACATAGAATTTAATTTTCTTAGCGCGCCATGTAGGATTATAAATTTTAGTGGTAGCCAATTAAATAAGAGATTATTAATTTCTTTTAGAATTAAATAGTTCAAATGCCACGTAAGAAAAATTGGCGAATGAGATTTTTAAGTTAAAATTAATTAAATATAAAATATTTTCTTTTGATATTAGGAATTTTATCTAAATATATAACAAATTTTAACACATAAATACAATAAAAAAATTATTTTTAAAAAATTATTAGAGCGCCATGTAGGATTAGTGTTTTTAGAGCATTACCTATAGAATTATGCCACGTAAAATTGTTATTTTTAAGTGCCACGTAAGATTAAAATTAAAAATTTAAATTTATTATAAAAATAAAATATTGTCTTCTTAAATTGAAAACAATTTATTTTATTCCGGTATTAAATATGGTAGTATTTTTAGAGCGTTACATATAGGATTATGCCATGTAGGATTGTTATTTTAAAGCACCATGTAAGATTAAAATAAAAAATTTAAATTTATTATAACAATAAAATACTATATTTTAAATTGGAAATTTTATCTAGAATAAAACAATTTATTTTATTTCGCATATATAAAAAAAATACAATTAAAATTTTAAAAAAATGAAATTCACGTTCAATTGATATTTAAAAAAAATTGGATTAGATAAAAAATAATGAAAATATGACAAGTGATTATAGTAGAATATTTTATAAAAAATATACTAATAAAAAAATAAAATCACGTTTAATTAAAAAAATATCAGTTTTCTCTAAAAATAAGTTTTAAATTAAATACAAAAAATAAGAAAAAATCATTGAAATTAAAAATAAATCCTTTCTCGTTTTCTAGCAAAAAAAAAATGTTTATCATTTATTCGTCTTAAAGATTAAGTTCTACGTTAACAAAATAAAATTGGTGAATGAAATTTAAAGTTTTAATTAATAAATATAAAATATTATCTTTTGATATTAGGAATTTCATCTAAATATATAACGAATGAGAGAAAATTCACAATTTATTTTAAAATAAATAAAATAAAAATATTAAATGATAATATGATATACTACGTACAATGAATAAATAAAGTGACAAATTTTATCACAAACATAGGAAAAAAAATATAGGGTTAGGTTCCGGCGAGAAGTATGCTTAAGGTGAGAAGTGTGAAAAACCCATGTACGTTGTAAATACACTGGAGATACAATGATGGCATACTACAGACACATTAGAAATACATTAAAAATATATCAATTCCCTTTCCTTTTAAAAATGGATCAGGGCAATTAAATGTAGTTAACCTTTTTTCTAAATCAAAGTGTTTTGAGGTTTTTGGAGTCCCTCGGGAGAGTTACAATTCCAAGAATGCGAGTCGTTCGTCTACACCTGCAAAACCACGGAAACTCCAGTTGGGGGGAGTTCCGCTTCCGACGGTCAAGTTAGAACGTTTCCGGATGTATAAAAGGGCAGAATGTAAAGGTTTTTCTCTCTGATTCAGTGAGAATTCTGCAATTAATATTGCTCGGGTTTGTGTGTATATTTATGAATGTGTAATAAATGAGGATTTTCCTCTATTTATAGTGGAAGAGGATCAGTTCCCCTTTTAGGGTTAAAGTGCCACGTGTCAGTATAGAATTGGATCCCTTAGGACCTCTCGGAGGCAGACACGTGTCAGCATGCTATAGGGCCACGTGGACAGGGTGTTTTTACCCTAAACATTTTCCCCTCACAGGTGTGACGTGGCTTGCCACGTGGCACCTGTGACAGGCGTCACGCTCTAAGGAGGTGACGCTTCGCCTCTCTATCTCTCTTTGCTTTTTTTTTTTTAATTTGAACATGAATTTGAAATAGGAAGGTGACGGTTCGCCTTTTGGGTTCTCCTTTAAATAGAAACCCTCCCCCTCATTTTCAACACTTTGCAAATTTTTCAAATAACTTTCTAAGAGAAAAGCTCTGATACCGGCTGCTCTTATTTGCAAAAACTTCCCCTTTTTCACTC